GCGGCCAAAAAAAAAAGTTTTACGGGGAAATTAGGTAGTACACGAAGCATTTGTGAATTCAGGGATGCCTGAAGGTCTTGGGATGTGAAAGTCAAGGGTCTACTGTCAAGCAGTGTTTCTCAGCCTGAGTGCTGCTGACATCTGGAGCCAGATCACTCTGTGCTGTGGGCCTGTTCTGTGGACTGTAGGATGTTTAGCAGCATCCCTGGCCTGTACCCACCAGATTCCAGTACCCCCCACCTTGCCCTTGTGTTGTGATGGTCACAACGTCTCCAGACATTGCCAAATGTCCCCTGGGAGGCAAGACTGCCACCAGCTGAGAACCACTGCTGATAAAGATGCAGTGAAATAAACACACTCCCAATGGAAACTGAGGCAAGCACTCTGGGCCTCGTGGTGCTGCAGGGAATCCCACAGGGAAACATACGGCTTCTCCACCTTCCTGGCCAGAGTTAAACCCTCCTTACTTCCAGTAACGGGCGTCAGTAGGGACCAATACCAAGGAGCAGAGCATGAAGCGGGAAGCAAGCCTGAGCTGAGCCGCAGGCTGGGTGGAAGGCAGTTGTGGCGCCGCAGGAAACGGGGGAGTGAATTGCTCTTCTGCTTTTTGTTAGGTGACAGTTCTGTGGGGACAGCCTCCAGGGAGGCACGACCAAACGTGGTGAAATAGAGCCCTGCCATGGTCTCAATAAAGAAGGCTATGCAAACAGAGCTTCCTCCTGTTCTGGACTCTTCCCCTGTGGCTGAAGTGCAGAAAGCACAGTCCCTGTCCCTTGGGGTGGCTGACCCGCTCGCCTGTGCTCGAGGGGGTTCAGTGCAGCGTTCCCGCGGCCTCACCCACAAGTGTGCATGAGGCAGGGGTCACGGGCACCTTTCAACGGCTTCCCCAACGACAGCTGTCAAAGGAAACAGAAGGTGGCAGAGATGCGGAAGCAACAACTAGGGTTTCAGGCCAGGAGACAAGCCCTCTTTCCTTCGAAAGCACCCGCATCGATCTTCCGCGAGACCAGCTGGCGAAAGGCAGCCTCAGCAGTTATCCTTATGTAGGCAGTCACCCCCTTCTTCCTCTATTTTGATCACACGACCCCTTCAGTCCCAAGCCACTCGTGGTCCCCATAAATGGGCAAACAGACACGCCTGTTCTGAGATCACTTATGGGGGGGATGCATGGGCCTAAACCATGCTCCTGCGTCCAGCACTATCCTTGAGAGGGTTTGTCATCCAAGTCCCCTGCGAGGCTCGTCTGCCCATTACACACACACAGTTTATGCAGAAGAATGCAGGCTAAGGCAAACACCCCTGACACCCAGGAGGGGCGAGAACTCCCAACAGGGCACCGCAGAGGTAGGGAGAGGCTTGGTGCTGGGAATGACCGGGTTATGGGCTGATGCACCGCTCAGGGTCATGGTCTCCCAAGGCAGGCAGAGCAGGTTCCGCCCACATCGTGCTGAGCAGCATGTGCGGTTAAGTCCATTCTGCAGCCTCTCTGGGCTCAGTGGGTGGTGCACCTCACACCCTTCTCCTGGTCTCACGGGGGGAACCATTCTCACAGGATGGCAGAGTTAAGGAAACCTCAGGCAGAAGGTGTGTTCTCGGCTCAAACCGAGACTAATCCTGGTTAATGCCACCTCATCCTCAGCACCATCCACCTTCCCCCTGCCTCTCTCTTCACCAGCAGGATAAGAGAATACGAGCAGTTGTTAACGGCCAGTGCCCAGAGTCGGCCCTTGAACACATGCCTCAGACAAAACCAAACACATAAGAAATGGAGGAAAAAATTTTAAAAAAGCAGAACCCACTGAGACTTTTAGGTCTCACTGCCCCATTTCCTGTGGGCACATGTGAAATGATTACTGAACAGCTGGAGGCACGAGAAAAGTGGGCACATCAAAGGTTTTCCTTCCCAACACTCAGCTACAGAAATAACTCATTTCCTCGCCTCTCAGCTTACAGATGTTGTAAGGTGACGCAGGAACCGTGGTGACTTTCATGGACAGTGTGGACATGTCATTGCTGATACCAAGAGGAGGCTGTGAGCTGTTACGCAGTTCCACTAACGAGAGGGGCATGACCTGATTCATTCCAAGGTTCAAGAAAGACTTCCCCGGACTTCCCTGGTGGTGCAGTGGTTAAGAATCCGCCTGCTAATGCAGGGGACACGGGTTCGAGCCCTGGTCCGGGAGGATCCCACATGCCGCGGAGCAACTAAGCCCGCGCACCACAACTACTGAGCCTGCGCTCTAGAGCCCTCAAGCCACAACTACTCAAGCCCACGCACCTCGAGCCTGTGCTCTGCAACAAGAGAAGCCACCGCAATGAGAAGCCCGTGCACCGCAACGAAGAGTACCCCCCGCTCGCCGCAACTAGAGAAAGCCTGCGCACAGCAACGAACGCAGCCAAAAATAAATACATTTATTTAAAAAAAAAGAAAGAAAGACTTCCCTGGTAAATTATTGAGGTGAAGGAGGCTCCCTTGGAGCCACACACAAATGGCACAGACCCAGCAGGAGGACGCTAGTGTGAGGGTTTTTGCCAGATGTTCTCAGAGGTGCTTCCTTATGCATCACACCACAGCTCTCGAGTCTATGAAGCTGGCAGAAACAGAGCATGGATCCCCAGGCAGGTGCAGAGCAGGGCAGCTGTTGAAGGTTAGGTACTTTCTAGAAAGAGGCCTCTTGCTACTTAAGGCAGTGCTGCCTTTCTCTGGGATACTTGGCAGCAATATGAATCAATCATTTGATTACTCCAGTCCTCCAGCTACTCATCCACGCAAGGATTCCATGATGTAACCATGACCAATCTTATATTACACAAAGAAGATAAACTGAGTGTACGTGAGAGGGGTGGGGGTAAAGCAGACCCAAAACAGTGAGAAATCAATCATTCTAGTTGTCCTAGTTACAGACTCCACCCAACGGCAACTGAAGGTCTCTGTATGCTTTCTCCGCCTCTTACGCCATCCAAGACTATAAAAGTTGTGCAACTTAAAATTCAGCTGAGAACCGAAGTGGTTTCAAACTGCTGAGGGGAGCAGAACCCAAGGTCAACAGCCGACAGCCTTCATCCATCTGAACTGGCCTCAGTTTGCAAGTGCTAGCAGCCCTGAGACAAAAATAACGAGCGAGCAAGTCCGGTTTCCTTTCTTGACCACTCTCTGATCAACACGTGAAGAGTGAACAAACCTGACTCTCATCATACATTCACCGTGGCTGCTGCTGAATGGGGTTCCCAGACCGCGGCTATGGAAGCCGCTGGACTCACAAGTACAGTCCACAGGAAGCAGTGTGCTTCTCCAGAAGCCAAGGGCACTGATGTGGGCAAAACATCTCCAAAAGTAAAACTCACGTAGGGAGAATAGAGCTCCCCGGGCTCTGTGATTTCACCCGCCATTTCCAAAAGCGAGGAAGGGTCCGTTGGCTGCCAAGGTTCCTTCCGTGCGGGGGGCGGCGGCGGCGGCCGCGGCTCCCTAGGAAAAAAACAGGCTTCAGCTTTCTGATGGACCTAGACGCGGGCGGAGGGATGTCTACAGAGCCACCCCCTCCCTGTCCTTTAATCACAGCCACTTATGGCCTTATCTGTCAAAAGAGAGCCCGGAGGGAAGGACTTCCCTGTATGATGACACATGGGTGGTTTCTACTAACTTTTTCCTGTCTGTGCAGGGCATGTATTCATTGCCGCTCAGACTCCAAGTGATTTAAGGGGCCTCAGACGCCACTAAGAGTCACCCACCACAAGGGTCCCCTTTACCCACTCTGGTTATCCCCCATTTAATGCCAGGAACAGCGAGCTCACTACCACACAGGGAAGCCAAGCAACTGTCTGCCTCCTCCGCCTACAGCAAGGGGCTGGGGGCTTTCCTAGGTCGCCCCCCAACCCAACTCCTTGCCCCAGAGCCTCTCCTTTCTAACGGGGCCCCCACGTCTCCCAACCTGCCTTAGGGCTCTTCACCCTCCAGCCTCCCCCTCTTCCCAAGAGGCCCTCTCCGAGCCTCTCCCCCATTTCTTCCTCCCTCCTGGAGGAGCCCCGAGTCTGGCACGACCCCATTCCATCCCACCCTCCCGCTCCGACACCTGCAGCGAAGCTTGCTCCCGCTTCCGCGGCCGCTGTCTCCGACCCGGGGTTGCTGCCGGCGACAGCTGTCCCGCACCAGCGCCCGCAGCACGCATGCGCCCGCGCCGGGAGCCCACCTTTTTTGTGCGCGCCTCGGGCGGGGCGCACGGCGCTGATTGGGCGCCTCGCGGAGGCGGGACCGGGATTAGGCCCCGGCGGCTGCCGTCTGCGTGGCGGAAGTGGGCGGGGTGCGCTCCCACGCGCATGCGGGAGGGGCGGCCGCCTGCCTGGTGGGAAAGCGGCGTAGGTTGGAAGGGGTGGATCACGCCTCCTGGGGACACGTCCGTCGGCGAGGAGTGGGTGTGAACTTGGCCGTCGCGGGACCCCAGTGGTTGTGGGGGTTCGAGAAGAGTAGCCTGTAACTCCTCACAAAGAGGAGGGGATTGAGGCCTTAAGCCTGCCTCACCCAAGAGTGGCCAGGGAGGCCCCGACGGCTTGGGGGGCAGGAAGAGGGAGGACCCGAGCCCAGTGGGGTGGTCGCTGGGAAAAGGGGTTGGAAATAGGTTTAAGACAGGGCTGAGAAGTAACCGTGGGGCGGAGTCTCAGAACTGGGGCGAGTGATGGGAGTTCTGGTGATGAGTCTTGGTGCTTGAGTGTGGGGCATCGAGGTTCCGGGTGATGGGGCTGAAGGGACTGGCAGAAAAGACAGCCCATATTTGGCCCCTTGAGATGCGAGCCCAGGGTTGTTTAATCATCTTTCACCGGCCGTGTTCCCTTTCTTGCAAAGGGTTTAAAGTCCGTGTTCTCAGAAGTGTTTGGAAGGGAAGATGGACAGAGGCTCTTCTGACAACTTAGCCCCAGGAGGCCTTTAGTGAACTGAGAGCCGGGGCTGCCACCCTAAGTGGGAGGAAACTCAGGTGCTGAAATCTTTGCCCTCCCACCCGCAGGCTGCTACCATGAGGTTAAATCAGAACATCTTGCTGCTGGGAGAGAAGGTGGTGCTGGTACCCTACACCCCAGAGCATGTGCCTAGGTAACCATTCCCCTGACACGGGGTGCAAGCCAGCTCTCCAAGGTGCAGCGAGGAGGGTGAGCCTGTCTTAACCCAAATCTCAGAGGCTGTTTTCTCTGAGAAGGAGAAACATTGGTGTGAGAAATAATTGCATACAGGAAAAAGTGAAAACTGAAACAGAGGGCTGTGACCTCCCTGGAAGAAGTCATCCATCCCCGTTTCTCCCTTCCATCCCCTCAGCTTCCTTTCTGGCCTTTCAGCCAGGAATTCTTTTATGTAAACTACATGTGTGCAAGAAAAAAAAGATACTGTCTTCTAATTATAAATGAGTGCCATTCCTCTGGTGCCAGTAAATAGGCTCAGTTCTTGGAAACTAAATGTTAGCTTGTCATAAAACTGAGCAGGTGGGTCGTTGTGATGTCTACTGCTTGGAAAGGCCAGGACTGAGTCGCAGGGTGGGACTGTTGTGGGCCAGGTGACAAATGTCCGGTAGACAGGGATACTGGTGCTGTAGGCGTGTATTCTCTACTTGTGGTTTTCATTTTGGGAGTTCCTGGTGCCTGGCCTTTGTGGAGATCTGTCCAGCCTCCTTTGCTGAGTTTGGCTTGCCATGACTTCCCCTCGGGAATTTGAGGAATGTTTAGCTTCCGGCTGCTCCCCCGCACTGACCCCTGAGATAGGAGAGGAGGCTGGATGGATAGAACTGCCTCCTGCTGTTCTCTTTAAGACTAGCCTGCCTCTAGTTCTTGGGCCTGTGGCCTTCTACCATAGGAGCCATTATAACTCTTTCTTGGGGTTCTTCTCTAGCCCTCTGTTAGCCCTGGGGGGGTTCTCCCCTCAACCATGCATTTCTTCATCTCATAAAGCGTCAGACTTAGGCTTCTGAATTTGTCCTGCCTGCCAAAGGCCGACCCTCCATCCCTGCAGGTACCACGAGTGGATGAAATCAGAGGAGCTGCGGCGTTTGACAGCCTCCGAGCCGCTGACCCTGGAGCAGGAGTATGTGATGCAGCACAGCTGGCAGGAAGATGCAGACAGTGAGAAGTGGAGGCCCCGGGCTGTGCCGGTCATGGGAGGGCTGATTCCAGAGGCCTTACCGGGTTCCCACCCTTTACTGTTCCCAGCTGTAGCCCCGCTGGAGCCACAGAAAGTTTGCAAAAAACACTTCGTGAAAAGCTTGGGAGGTGCCTAAAGCCCTCAGACTGTGATGCCCCCTGAAGCCCTCAGGCTGTGATGCCCCCTGAAGCAAGTCCCTGTGGCTGACGCTTCTGTCCTCTTCCCCGCTCACTGCACCAGGCGTGAAGGGATTTAGAGAAAGGAAAGCATTTGGGGCTCTGGCTGTAAATCGAGGCCCTGCCCCTTGTGCCCCTTGCTGCAAGCCCCGTGTGGTTCGTGCTCTCTGAGAATACAGTTGCTGTTTGCAGAAGGCCATTGTTTCCTGCATGAGGCCGATTTAGGCTTTGTAATCAGATGAAGGAAGTGCTGGCTCCCTTTTCCTGCCAGACTCAGAGATAGTGGTAGTTTTCTGCAGTTCTCTGGCTCCGGTAGGAAGACTGGCCTCCCTGCACTCCTTTGGGGAGTGTAGGTGATAATCCCGTCGCCTCCTTCCTCAGAGTGTACCTTCATCGTGCTGGATGCAGAGAAGTGGCAGACCCAGCCAGGCACCAGCGAAGAAAGCTGCATGGTGGGAGATGTGAACCTCTTCCTCACGGATCTAGGGGACCCCACCTTGGGGGAGATTGAGGTCATGATTGCAGGTTTGTTCCACCTGGCCCTGCCCTCCATCCCTCTGGTCCTCAGATCCGCTGAACCTGAAGCCACCGAGGCTGTGTAGGGCACTCAGAGAGCTCCATGGGCAGCTCCGGCCTTGGTGAGCCTAGCACCTGGCTGGGCAGACTGTCACTTGGCACCCTGTTAGCCTTGTGGCTCACCCCTGGTAGTTCATGTTATTGCCATCTCATGCTTAGGTGTGAACTTAACCTTTGGTTTTAGGGTCTTCAAACTGCAGTCTGCCCCATCCTTGGGGTGGACTGGGGACCCTCCAAAAATAAACGATCTTCCTTGGAGCATCTCCCCATGCCGTGGGAGGAGCCCCTCCAGTTTCTGTGTCCGTCAGGGTCCTCAGCCTCTTTCTAAGGGGCCATGTGACTGTCCTCGTGGGGCAGCACACTGAGCCGAAAGGGTCAGTTTTGGGGTCAGGTTACTGGGTGCCTCTAAGCTGTGCGATCCCGGGCGAGTAACTTAACTTCTCTGGGCCTCTTTCTCCTCATCTGCAGAATGGTACCCATATCTGCAAACTTCCTAGGGTTGTGAGGATGACGTGAGCTGGGCACGCACCGTCAGTGACTGTTGTCATTCCTCCTAGAGCCCAGCTGCAGGGGCCAGGGCTTGGGCACCGAGGCCGTCCTCATGATGATGTCTTATGGTAAGGAAGGCCGAGCAGGCTATGTTGGGGAGAAGTGGCCAGGCCCCAGGAGAAGGCGAGGGCATGTTGGGAGGGAAACTTCAGGCCTGAGGGTGGAAGCCAGTGACAGGCGTTTCCATCGCAGGCTGGGACGGGAGGGGCCGAGGGTGCTGGGAAGGTGGGGGAGGGCTTCATCCTGCAGCTCATCCCTCTCTAATCTCTTCTGGGAGGAGTGACCAAGCTAGGTCTGACCAAGTTTGAGGCTAAAATTGGGCAAGGAAATGAACCGAGCATCCGGATGTTCCGAAAGCTTCACTTTGAGCAGGTGAGGATGGTGCCAGCGCGAGGGTGAGGCCTGGATCTGGGCGGGCCCAGTGGTGCTAGGACTTGGGCCCGTAACTTAGTCGGCCCTGCTCTGTCTGGATCACGTAGGTGGCTGTGAACAGTGTCTTCCAGGAGGTGACGCTCAGACTGACGATGAGTGAGCTGGAGCGGCAGTGGCTTCTCGAGCAGACCACCCACGTGGAAGAGAAGCCCTACAGAGCTGGGGCATCGGAGCCCCGCTGACAGCCGGCCTTGCGGACCAGCCACCCTATGTGGATGGGGGTGTGAGACCAGAGCCCTGCAGCAGGCACACAGAGGGGGCCTATGGGGCAGACTGCTCTGGCCTTGCTGCAGCCTGGGACCCTCCTCTTGGGGCCCTTCAGACTCCGGGCTGGACTTGCCTTGGCCTCCCTCTGGCTGGCCTTGTGGCTGAGCCACTCCAGGGCCAGCCCCTCCTCCTGGCCAAACCTGGACTCAGACTCTTGGAATCTGGAGTGGACGGCATGAATTCACGGGAAGAGGCAGGGTGGAGGTGGAGACGAGGGGGCGCCTGGTGAATGGGCAGAACCTCCCTTTCCCCTGGAGGGCCAGAGGGGCCACCGAGGCTCTGGCCGGGAGTAAAGTGCACTGCACGCAGCTTGCCCTGTTCTCTCACTGGGCCCGTGTGGAGGTGAGCTGCCAGGAGGGCCAGCCTGCGGCATCTGGTCCAGCGTCGTAGGGACAGGGGAGGGGTAGCTCGGTCCTCTGTCATCCAGCAGAAGCAGGTGGGTGTGACCCCGGGAGGTCTGGAAATGAATGAGTTCGGCCTTGAAGGACAGACAGGTGGCTTGGAAAGTGGGCGAGTGTCCTTGCTCCTTCCTCTTTGGAGCCAGTTTTGAGGGTGGAGTTAGTTTTGGATGCAGCTGCATGTGGCTGGAGTACCCCCCCTGCCGAGGAAGCTCCGGGCCTCAGTTGCAGGGTGTCCTCCCGAGGGCACCTGCGTCCTCGCTCTACAGGCCTCTGCCTCTGGGAGCAGCTGCACCTGCGAAGGCCACTAGGGGGTGCCAGAGGCACAGGTTCGGATGATTAAGCTGCTTGGCAACCGGGGCCTAAACAGGCAGAGCCGGGCCGGGGCTCCTCACCTCACAGCGAGGGGGACACCCTTTGACTTCTAACCCCATCTCATTGCCCTGTCGTAATCCGGGGTGGCCATCAAGAAGTCAGGCGTGTTTCAAAACACAGTTGGAGAAGAGACTCTTGAGGGCACCTAGGACATTTTCAAGGGGGGGGGGAAATGGTCCCAGGCAAGTTGAGGCACTCGCCCAAGGCCGCAGAGCTTTTGATGGCAGAGCCAGGACTGTGGCTGACGACTCCCAGCTCCCAGGCCTCTCGATCCTGGCCTCTCACACCAGACTACGCATGTGGAAAACTAGAATCTGAAACAGGCCTGAAGCTAACACATAAACCTTGCTTTTGCTGTGGGGCCCCCAGCCCCTCAGCGACAGTATTCCTTCCACCTGTCCCCAGCTTAACCAGAGTCAAAAGTCCTTAGGACTTCCCCACCCAGCAGGTGAGGTAGGGAGGGGCCCTTTCTCAGGCCTGCTAACCTGCAGGGGGCCTCCATCAGGGGTCAAAGGGCAGGCTGGGGGCCGGCCAGGCTCAGCCTAACTGCTGCCAGTGGTGTTGTGATAAGGGTTTTGAAAGGTTTCTCTCAACAATGGTGGGATTCAAACCTTAACAGGTCAGATAGTGATGGCCAGATAGTGACCTGCCCTTCTCTCCACCCCAGGGGCTCCACGGGTCCCCTCCCTGGTCCACTGTCTCCCTACTCATTCTCAGTCCCAGGAACCTGGCTTTTCTGAGTGGTCTCCTGGTTGGGTAGAGAAGAGCCCAGGGCCAGCTTCCCTTCCTTCTGAGCACCTGCTCAGAAACCTGGCCCTGGCAGGCCACCCTGGCAGATCTCCAGGATGTGGCCTCAGGGGCCGGAGGTATAAGGGACCTGGGTGAGTCCTTGGAGAGTCCCCTCCATGCCACCTGCCACAGGCACGTCCCAGGGCTCGGTGGGCCAGGTTTGTTTTCCCCCAGTCCCTCCAGTCAGGTCCACGGCCAGGTAAGATGAGAGTATCTGGGACCAGCTCAGGTCACTCCTGAGACTCCTGTACCTCGCTGGCTGTGGGTGGAAAGATGAAAGCCAAAAGCCTTCTCTTTCCAAGTCTGGCTCCATCGTGAATTCAGTTTGAACGCTGCTCCTGGAGTCCGAGGTGCCTTCCCGGCGCCCTCCGAGCACGTGGGTTCAGCTCCCACTTTCCCTGATGAATGTCTCTCTAGGGCAGCCCCAATGAGCCAAGCACATGGGGTGGTGGCGGGGTGGGGGGGACCTCGGCGGGGCCACCCAGCAGCTATAGGCTCAAGGCCCTTGGGATAAAGCCACCCCACCTCCCCTCCCTCCAGCTGTTCCCTACCCTCTGCCAGAGGCCACGCCGGGAACACCCATGGACAGAGCTCCAAAGGAAAACACAGAGGCCAAGGCGGTTTGGAGAAACCAGTTCAATTTCGATAGCGTTTCCTTACAACTGTGCCTGGCTCAGGGCTGGGCAGCGGGTGGCCAAACCCTCCCCGTGTTGCCCAGGTCTCTGGGGGGTGGGAGCAGAAACAAAAAAGTTCTAGGCTAAGGTCGCTACTATGTCCTGGATACAACAACCTGGAAAATCACGTTAATCAAGGAAACGGAAGTCCCGCTAAAGTCTGTGGTACTGCACTCCTTAAAAAAAGAAAAAAAAAAAAATCAAAAATAAGATGCCCAAGCCACAGCTTAGGATGATGGCCCCCTGTCCACTCTGAGATGTTGCTGTGATCTGAGTCCTCGATCAATCCTGGACCCAGTCATCACTTGGGGTCATGTGGGAAGGTGACCTCTCGCCCAGTCCCACGATCCTTGCTCGGTGGAGGTCCCAGTGATGTCCCAGGAGGGTGGCATTGGGACACCTGGTAGGCTGAAGCACCCAGTGGGGGACAGTCTGCTTTCTGATTGGGGCCAGGACGGAAAAACAGTCACCTTCCCTGAAGTAAGGGAAGAACACAGTTCTCTAGAAAAAAGTCAGATTTGCCAAGAGAGGAGATGCTGGTGCTGATTTGTATGTCGATTTGGGGGTAAGTGGGGAAGAGGGAAAAGGAGTCGGGTCGGGGTGTGGGGCTGGCCCGGCCCTGCCAGCCTTCCTGGTGGCTGGGGCACTCAGAGGTTGCTGAAGAGTTCGTTTTTCTTGCTCCAGTCCATCTGCGGGGCCCGTTTGCTGCTGCGCTTCTGGTGGGCCCTCTCTTTGGCCACGGCCAGGGAGATGTTGAAGTCCAGGATGGGGTCGGAGGAGGAGGTAGATGAGGGTGCCGTGCAGTCCTGTTTCTTGAGGCTGTCTTGGGAATTCAGCTGTAAAGAGGAGGGGGCGGCAGAGCGCGGGAGTTAGTGCCTTGGCGAGGTGGCTCCCTTGGGGCGGTGCCCAGGGAAGCCAGGTCACAAGAACTGAACGTGGCTCAGCATGTGACCTCCACACAGGCTGGTGTGCCAGGATCAAATGTGGCCTGGGAATGGACTTCCTGTCACCCAGTGCCACCCCCCTCCACCCAGCCAGCCAGCCTACCTCCTCACTGGTGTCACTGGAGGTGGATCTTGCCAGGGTTGGCCTGGGGCTCTCGGAGGCCGTGTCGGCCAGGGCTTCACGACTGTTCTCCTGGCACAGAGAGGAGGCGTATGGGTGGGCAGGGCATGGGGTGGGCAGTCCTGGGCGAGGAAGGGCATTCCCAGGGAAGACGGGCGCCTCGGTCTGAGAAGTTCCACTTAAGCCCTTGCTATCCACCCCAGAGCCCCACCGCCTGAGCCTGCCAGGGCCCCTCGAGGATTTACATTTTCACATTCTTCCAAGGATCAGAGGGTAGCCCGGTTCCACCACCCAGGCAGGAGGAACCATCCATCGTGGGATTAGCTGAGTTACCCGCCCCAGTCCTCCCAATGCAGCCTTTGGGGCCGACTCGCCTTTTGGGACGGTGACCCAGGAGGGGCCTCCTGGAGTTTGGGGACACTGGGAGCATCTTTGCTTGGCGTGGGGAACGCCCGTGATGCTCCCTGAATCTCCTGCAGCCCATCTGACTATTTACTTGGACTTGACCCCGGGATTCTTGAAATCTTAACCCCAAAGCAGCCAAGAAGGGCTTTGAAGGAAGGAGGTGGATGAGAGTTCTAAACCCACAGGTAGAGTGACAGAAGGCTCAGGTGATCCAGGGCCAGCCCCTTGCTGTGTCTGTCCCCCAGCAGGAGAACCCGGGGAAGGGAAGCCTTTGAGCAGACCCTGCAGAGAGCTCCCGTTCTGTGGTCCGACAGCAAGTCGGCCCATCCTAGAGCCAAGGCCTTGACCAGGGCTGTGGCTTGGTGCTCAGCTCCTGCCTGGGTTCCTCTGTGGCCCCAGCTGGCACCGGGCCCCCGCCATCTCCCCCCAGCCTTCGCTGCCTTCTCTTCCCTCTGTCCGGGGAGGAAAGGCTTTGTTCTTCCAACCCAGACTGGAAGTAGCAGGGGCCGGGAAGCGCGCGGCCAGACACTGCGGCTCTGTTCTTGGGGGGAAGAATGGCCTCCTCTGTGCGGTGGGGAGCTAGAGGCGGAGCTTGTCACCCAGGATGGCGGGCTGCGGATGGGCCGGCCAGGCCCCTCTCCCTCCCCGCTGCCTTGGGCCCAGGCGGGGACTGAGGGATAAAGCGGCAGCTACATAGCCTGGGGCCCAGGAGGGAGCAGCCTGGAAACCCGTAGTTTCCACCTGAGCCAGATGCTGTCCACCTCCCACCTCCTCCTGCACCCCAGGACTGAGCGCCAGAGAAGCAATTAGGGGTCTGCCTTTACCTTCCGGATCTCTCCATTGGTGAAGGGCTCAGGCAAGGGACCTAGGCGAAGGAGAAAAGAGCGGAAGTGAAGCGGAGGCTCTGGGGAATG